AATTTGAATTAAGTAATGCTTCTGTTTCTATTATCTATCTTCCATTAGAGTATTACTGTACGATTTTCCCAAGCAAAAGAATTCTTAAAATTCATACAGACCAATATGCCAAACTACTGATTAAACGATATCTCGTCAAAGACAGTATTATTTAGGTTTCCCTCACATGAAAGTGCACTTTCCTTAAAATCTCTTTAGTATGATTACAATACCTCTCTTAAATTATTTAACGCGTAATGGGTAAATTTGCAAAAGAACAATATCAGATATAACACAATGTTTTATATCACATTAACAATGTCTAGGTTCAGTATTTTTATTATTATAAAAATAAAAGATTGTGAATAGTTAAGCAAAATTTAAAAATTTTATTCCAGTTTGATGAATTTCATAGATTTTCTTTAATAACCTTTGTTCAAATGTCATATATGAATCTAATGAGGGTAATAATGGTATGTATACACATTCAAAATTGATCAATAATGAAAAATATCGATGATTTCAATATAAATTAGTTATGAACTTTTGTAAATTGGTTTCTTTTGTAGGCTGAAAATATTTATATGATGAAATCATTTTTTTCTTTTCTTTAGAGATAATGTGTTTTGTCTAGACATAATGAGCAACAATATAAATTTTGCAGTGTCCATGCTAATATTATGAAAAACCAAAAATTTTTCTGTAAGACTTAATAAATAATTTTTTCATTCACTGTTTTGATTAGAACTAAGAATGAGTTTATTTTGGGATAATCAAGGTCAACATGCCTCATTTCAAAAATATAGATGCAAAAGTCAGCAATTATGGAAAAAGTTAACAAATTTATTAGCGCCTTGTATTATTTATTGGGTATTTCAGTAAAAAAGAACATTGCAAAGAGAAAAAAAAGGTCTATTTTTTTTATTTTATCGCAATTTATGAAAAACTATAATTTAATTAGCAACCTGTTAAATTAAAATTTTTTTTTATAAATAAAATTCTTCTGTAATTAAATTAGCAAAACATGAAAAACATAATTGAATTTCGAAATTTAATTCATTCAATTCAGAAAAGCTTTTATATTTACCTGTTAAATGTTAACTACCAATAGTTTAAAATAATTAAAAGTGACTTTTATTTTATCAATTATGTATAAATATTAGTATATCAACAGCTGTTACAAACAATGCCAGTATTGACGCACATTTTTCATAATTCTAGAAATTCCAATTAATCTGTACTTAATTTTATAAAATATGCATAAGGGGAGTATTGAATTTTCAAGGACGAAATGTTCGATATTGAACACATACATAAAAAATGAAATTCGTATTAAAAAAATTTGTTAAATACATTTTTATAGTATCAATTCAATCATATAAAGTGGAATATTTCAATTGTAAAAATTTTATTATTTATTGATTTAAGGAATCTATTGCTCATAACCTTGTCTATTTAAAGAGTCTATACAAGTGTAAAGTGATATGGGGCGGCAAAATAGTTATTACAATTGTTTCAATTATTTTTTAAAATTGTAAGTACAAACAATATGTGTATTTCAAAGTTTTTCTATTTTTATGTGGAAAAATTTTATATAAAGGAACCACACAATTTGAATTGTTCAGACATTAATTTTAAATTATTTTTCAATAAATAAAGTTCTTAAAAACTTTATAAATTTTTTTTTAAATTTTTGCCTTAAAACTGTAAGGCGGTAATATTGTTTAGTCCGATTAACTTAATCTAAAAATAGGTACACTTCATAAATAGCGAAACACACGTTTGGTTAAAAATGCAGCTCTGTAACATATCGAAGCTTAAATAACGCTTGTATAGTACAAGTATTACCACAAATATCGTAAATATTTGATTTTATAGGGTAGGGTTCTATAAATAACCATTTGATTTACTCGCGGTTCAATAAATAACCATTTGATTCACTGGCGAATGTTATTTAGCGCTTATAAACTTATGGCCTTTTTCTTATAAAAAAATTTTTTTTCCTTGTTCACTCCTATGAGGAGCATAGAGCTAGTACATGATATCACGCCCCAGTTTCATTGCGTCATAGAGTTTTAACTAGCTAGCCTATATTATAATCTTGCTTTTTCAACCTCTCAGTGCAAATGGACTTCGGGATATTAATAAGTTATAAGCTCAACATATATTTATATTCCCGTTTACTATGGAAACAAGAATATAGTAGTAATAACAAAAATTATTTCAATGTCTGTTTCATGATGAGAATTTTTTCCCCACTTTAATGATCTTATAATACGAGTATATATATCTAATCTGAAATATCGTAACAACTTTAAGTATTATTAATACTATAATGATACTATGAATTCGCATAAAATTTCAACTCATATAGACAACCTGAAAATAATAATTCTTTTCTTACTGAAATTGAAACAATTTTTAAATAATTACTTTACAGCTTTCCTTCTACACGTAAGTTCTTACATGCATAAGATGCAACTTACAAATATTAAAATTAGCTTCTGGAGTTGTATGGTAGGTACCCGAACCTCCCAAGAAATTCCACTAAAACTTCACAAATATATCTGATCTATAATTGGACACACAACTGCCAAGTTTCATAAATCTGACTTTATTATTATTTTTTACAAATATTAAAAATTAGCTTTTAGACTTGTATGGGAGCTACTTGAACCTGTCAAGCAATTCCACCAAAACTTCAGAAATATATCTGACCTATAACTCGACACACAACTGCCAAGTTTCATGAATCTGACTACATTATTTTTCCAAATATTTAAAATTAGCTTCGGGAGTTGTACGGCAGGTACCCGAACCTGTCAAGCAATTCCTCTAAAACTTCAGAAATATATTTGACCTATAATTGTACACATGACTGCCAAGTTTCATGAATCTGACTTTATTATTATGAGTTATCGTGCGATCGGACGGACGGACGGACGGACGGACAGACGAACATATCCAAATCGACGCAGAATTTTGCGCTGAGCAAGAATATATACATATGTCCACACCGCAGATGACTCCTTCAAGTAGTTACAAACTCCATACCAAAGTTAATATACCCTTCACGAAGTGCAGGGTATAAAAAATGCAAATAAGTTTATTTATAAAACCACTTTTAATATAAAGTATGACAATTGCAGTTTTCAACTGTATTAACTAACATCGACATGGGTATGTTCCAGAAATAAAGTTTAATATTGCGATTTTTTTCCTTAATCACAATATTATTATTAAGTTTTCATAGTTAACTGCTACTACCACTTATTTTTAATGAACCAAAACCAAAAAAATAAAAAAAAAATAAAAATATTATTCCCCTACCGCATAATTTCCTGGCCATATTTATATAAACAGGTCATTAAATTCGGTAGGAAAAATTATGCTAAACAGTTATAGTTGCTAAAAAAATGATTGTTAAAATTTGAATAATTTTCTAAGAGCATATTTCTTTAAATATTTAATATGTACATGATTTCGATTAGATTTGAATCTATTCTGTTTAATAACATTACTGGTTTCTTTTTTGTTAGTGCAAAGTACAAATATTTATGTATGGATGTATGTATGTATGTATGTATATTTTGAATATCATTTTAATGAAGGTTAATTGCTTTTAAGTAAAAATTAAAAAACAAAAAAAAAAGAAATCGCGACAAAAATAGAACTAGCTATGACAATGGTGGTGATTCTATATGCAGGATTTGTGTAACTTTATATCCTTGAGCGAAAAATCATTAAAAAATATTTTTCAATTCATATTCAACAACACTGTTGGGTATTAACATAAAAAAAAATTTGCTTTTATCAATTGTACTACAATTTTTTTTTACAGTATTATTTTTTTTTTCTGTTTGTTTTTTGCAATCACATTCGTGTAAATGTAAAATTCTATTTTTAAAACTAAGTTCTATGGCATTAATAATTTCTTGAGGCTCAATGAAATTCTTTGTGATTAAAAAAAATTAGATCAGGCAGTTCATTTCATTTGTCTAAGGGGAACTTTTTTTTTAAATTTCGTATCCTCATTACACAGTAATTTTAGATTCAGTGAGAAGTCCGTATTTACGTTATTTTATATAGATACCAAATAATTTATTGCAATACATAAGTTTTTTTAAAATCGGGGCAAAAAACCAAATAAAAGTTATAAGAGATAAAAATTCTATTACAATAGTATAAAAGTTTGAATGGAGAATAGATTAGAGTTCATTATAATTGTGTTAATAGTAAAATTAAATATTGAAATTGTTTGAATTAAAGTTGTGTGTAAAGAATTAATTCAGCATTTCATGTTATCATTGTTTTAATTTAATAGTTTATACAACGGTATGTCATATATCGGTATGTAAAAATATTGAAATTAAAATAAATTAATTTTAATACCTATTTACACAAAGTAAGATTTCGAATAGAGTGTGAGTCGTTAAATGAATAATAATAATGGCGTCCGCAGTGCTAGACATTCCTTTCAAAATTTTGACTTAATGTAGACATAGATAAGTTTTTGTATCTTGCCTTATTTCGTTAGTAATTTCTTTTAACTAAAATTTTACTGCCGACTTCCATAGCTGAGGCTAATTATTGTCAAAATAAAGTAGTATTATTTTTGTCAAACCGACTTGTAAATTTCCTTGTTTTATTGAGTATTTTATTGACTCATTGACATAATGCTTTTGTCAGATCACGAAAAGCAATTTTCCGTTTTCAGTCATCGTAGTGTCAATACCGTCGTAAGATAAGATTTTGAGGAAAATTTCAAAACAATGATACATTCTTAGCTACTTTTCGAGAATTTTCATTGAAAATTAGTTTCAATTTGACGATATACAATTAAATTCATTATAAATTCTAACATTCGAGTATAGTTACAATAAAATTGCACGTACGGCGGTCAACTTTTCTTTTAAAAATCAAGAAAATTCTAATAACCTAAGCATTTAATAACTTTATCTTTTAATACAACTTGAATATGGTAAATGGTTTAATTTGAAATTTTTTTTTTCTCTTTTCAGGTAAGTTTCTTTAATTTTGGAACCGAAAATGAAATGTATGGCTAATAAATAGAGTAAGTACTGTTTAAAGTAAATAAAAGTTATGGTCATTCGGAATATCGCAATCAAAAAATTTTTCAGTATCTCCCTTGAAGATAGAAAGCTGAAATTTAATACGTACATAGATCTTTACTAGAAACTTATTTCCGTAGAGCAAAATTTTACCTATCTCCCCCGATCTAGAAGTTTTAGGGGCATTTAAACAATTACAAATAGTTCATTTCATTAGAAGAAAATTTTTTTCCATGTCCACCCCCTCTCAAGTTATCGCCTTCTCTTAAATTTCTATAAACGCATAAAGCTAACGGTAAATTCCATGAAATTAAAAAATATAATTATTTTTCTTAACTCACACAATTAACGATAAAAATCGAGAATTATGTTAACCCCACTTTATATTAATTTTTGCTGTATTTCAAAGACTGCATAAATCGTTCATCCTAAATATATGCAATCCTAGAAATAGTTTTGTATATGAATGAAAATAATTTTAATAGTGTGATAGGTACACATATACTGTATTTAAAAGCAGAATTTTTACTAGTTGAAGGGAAAAGTGCTACAATACAAACCATTGGTTTGACCCAACTTTATTTTTTTTTCAAATAATATTTTAGGAAAATAGATTTCTAAGTTAGCTAGGTAGACTCAATAAAACAACATTTTTATAAATTTTAAAACCAAAACTTAAAAACCGTTGTTTATAAAACTGTTTCACAGCTATTTACGAGAATCCTACACCTATACCTCTTTCTTACATAATATTTAATTTTTGATTACATCGCCCTCAATAAAAATTCTAACTTCTACATTTTTCTTCTGAGAATTAAACGTTCTTTCTAGTTTTTGCCAACACCATTTTTTATTGTAAAAAGTTAAGAAAGTAAGAAATTAATTTTAACCATTTATTGCATAAATTATGTAATGCAAGTAAGACCATCTCTTGTAGTTATTGCAAGAAAAGCAACGAAAAAGAAAAATATTTCTAAAAACTACAAAGTTAAGTAAAAGGAATTTCAAAATTAAATTAATCGTCCTTTAATACTGTCCTGCGAATAAAGTGTAAAAAAAATTGCAGATTTAATTTTAGTTTCTTTTTTATCTTTTTTCAAAATGTCTTTCATAATAAGCTGTTTGTCTTATTATTGCTTCCTTTTAAGAATTTTGTTCTCTTTATTTTTCAAAAGAGAAAAATTATTTTTGAAAGAAAAATTTATTTCTAAATTCCAGAGAAAATAATAAAAAAGAAGCAAATAAAATTTGCCAAAGAAAGGGCATGAAACCACTAAATTTTAAAAACAGCAATAAATTCTAACTCACAACTCATTACATCGCATGTTGGGTGAAGGTACATGTTAAGATCAAAAATATTTATTAAAAAAAAATTGCTATGTTATGTTCTGTGAAAGAAACTCCATGACTTACAGCAATACGTATGTAGTATATTGTCGTTCATGAGCACACATACACAGCTACACACTGCCATTCCTCTCTGTGACTGTTATATAATGCATAAAGAAGTTTTATCATAAGAGTCTTACATTTATACGACAATATTTAGAAAAAGTGACTAAGGAAAAACAAATAGAATTTTTTTTAATGTTGCATCTATACTAGCCTTCTAAAATAAAGCAAAAAAAAAAGTATAAAAACTGCATGAGCATAACAAAATTGCAGAGGTAATCGCCTAGAAACTAAAATAAATAAAAGAAAAACAAAATACAAATGTTATAAGAATAGAAAAAGGGACTAAAAAATGCAACAATAAAAAGAAAAATACAAGATTACTTGGCATAAGGCCAGGACAAAATAATAAAACACCATCGTTGCAACGTTAGTTCTAATGGGCAAAGATATTTTCTTATGTTTTGTTCCATTTGATAGGAAAGGCTGCATTAAATCTAGAACGTTTACTTTGCATGATTTTTGAATCATACTTAGCTACGAGAGGCAAGAAACAAGAAAAATAAAACAAACTGAAATAAATGACTTGTTATAAGTGTTAGAGTATTTGGAATTGCTTTCAATAAAATTTTAGAATTTAATCATGCATTTCCAAATTGAAACTATAATCAATTTTTATGAAATTAAAAATCAGGTAACTTTAATTTATCTGTTTAGAAAATTCCAATATCTGAACTTGTGCGAGTTGAAGATGTAACAACATTTTGTAAATTATTCTAAAGAATGTCTAACATTTGGCTTAAGTTTAACTTTAGACTGAAACGCAGTTTAAATCACTTATGTCTTAAAATTAGAACAAGACTGCGTACAAATATTAATATACGTTTACATATGTATATGTACACCAGTCCATGTACATACACGAAATCGAGCATTCCTTCTTCTGCCAACTTCAATCAACACCAGTACACTGAAAACAATGTACCATTCTTCACAACCTGTTAATCAATTTTCCAAAGGAATGTCATGATACTCTCAGCTGATCAAGCATATGAAGCCTCACCTTCTCAGAAAACATATTTCGCATATGGTTTGAAATACGAAATATTCTATATATTCAGCCTCTTTATGTATTATGATATTTAGGAGTTTATTGATCAAATAATAAATATTCTATTTGATTTGTACACTGTTTGACACAATATTGTTGTGGTGTAAAAACAAATTTTCATTAACAATATTGACCAGGGTTGACCTGTCTGCAAATCAATGATAAAATAAATGTAAGAATGTCAATTGCCTCATTCGATATAAGTTTCTTGAACAAGAAAATTTAAATTTTCAGTTCTTAAACAATGGAATGAATTACCTTAGCATAACATTTTATTTTATTTTGCAAACCATTTAAAATATTCTTAAATAACGTAGAGCTTTGAACATTTGATTTTTTGTGTCTACCGTGTCTACAATAAAACCATTAGTTTTTATATGTCTTGTTTTTATTCTATAGACCTATTTAAAATTGTTGACGAAACAGACAATTTAAATTTTTAATAAAAATATTTATTTCATATTAAGAAAACAATAATAAATGCAGCATAACTATAGAAAATTTTTAAGAGCTTTACAATGCAGTGTATCTCTAGCAGTTTGTATTGTGACAAAATGGCTATATTGTTATCTATAACAACAATCTCTGCAGCAGCCATTCCCATATAAGTAAGACTAGACATCGTTTACTAAAATTATTTTATTCTTAATTTTTTTCTGCTATATTCTGTTGTTTTGTTCCTTTCCTTAGAAAAACTATATTTTTTGTTTAGATCCGACATAAAATGCATAGCTATGAACATAATATGTAATAGGATCATAGCGGCTCTAGAATGTCCTTTCTTGTACATAAATTCTAAGTTTGTATACCGTATAAAATAATAATTCTAATGTCATATCTCCCATCCTTATTATACAATTGGAACATGGTCTTTATTTTTTTCTTCTTTTGTCATCATTTTATTTTGTTAGAAAAATGGGAGAAGAAGTTAACAGGGATTGCAACAACGGGATCTAAACTAGAATGCACAACTTAATTTCATTTCTTTATTTTTCCGTTTTTTTCTCACATTTTCTTTGATTTTTTTTCCTCTAGTACACATTATTATTGTTACTCTATTGATTCGTATGGAAAAAAGAAAAATAAAAATCCTTGACAAATGTATTTTTTTTTGTTGCTCCGTTCTTTTGTAAAGTGAAGAAAAAGGATTTGTATTTCAACACAGAGTTCTTTAAAAGAAGAAAATCTTTATATAACAATATTCTCTTATTAGATTTCAATTGAAATAGGATAAAAGGACATTTATTTTTATTTTATTTTCTTTTTGCTTTCTGTTATTGAAAAATAAAGATTTTCTTAGTTACAACATGCATACTGAATAAAAGAAATCCAAGAAAAATAATTGTTGAATTAAGTTTACATTTAAAAGAAAAATAAATATGCAATAGAAAATTAAATTTTCCTGTGACTTTTGATAATAAATTTGACCTTGTTATTTTTTTTTGCTTTGTATTTTTAAAAAATTGAGTACTTAAACTTTGAACTTATAAATAAAAAAAATTATAAAATTTTTATAATGTTTCCCGATTATTAACGTCTTGCTATGTAATAAAAAATACGCATTAGACAATTTCTGGTACTAGCTGCTTTTCTCTTGAGTAGTGCCAAACGATAAAAGTAATATTTTGCTCTTCTAACAGAAATCATGGTGTCATATACAAAATACTAGATATTTTTTGCGTGATACTTACGTACATATGAGAAACATGCACTTGATTTATTTTCAAGGTTGTCGCGTGTCAATTTGTATAAGATCTCAAATAACCCAAATAAATTTACACTTATTTAGTGCTATTCTCTATAGATATACATTAGTATTTCCTTCTCTAGTATGACATACGAATTGTAGAGTAGTAAATTAGTATTGTCACCTCCAGTGTGTAATACGAGTTGTAGAGTAAATTAGTATTAACACTTTCAGTATGACATACGATTGCAGAGGATTAATTCACCATAGTATGTAAAAAAAACGTTAGATATGCTTAAAAATGCAATTCCAACTTATTTTCGACTCATCACATTATTTTTATTGACAACAATCTCACCGAGAAATATTATAGACACTGAAAACTGAATAATTATAAGAAATTGGAAAATTCAAGTCAGTTGATGCATATTATCACAATGTTAACGATTATTCTCTTTCCTATAATTTGGAGATGCGAACATTTGATCGAAATATCTTACTGAACATTTCCAAGGAAAGCTGTTTGGCACAATCTAAGTTAATCAAAAATTGTCTAATTTATTTTCAATTAGAATATTAATTTTTATGAAAGACATCAAAGTAAAATTTATTAAAATGCAAATTTTTCTTCATATTTTGAAAACAACTGTTCGGGATATGGAAATATTCCATAAAATTTCCAAATTTAGATATACATATTTCCAAATATGTATTAAAAACAAATCATAACGATACTAGATGTTAAAAATTTTTAAAATTCGTATTTTTAGTTTCAGTTTTCTAAAACAAGTAATCAACATTACGTTGTTATTATTAAAAAAGTAAATTTCGCATCTTTCTTCAATTTTTTTTAAGCTAAACTTTTTTCTAGTTTTAAATCCCATTATTCTTTCTTTTGAAAAACATCTTTCAAAATCACAATTATGCTATATCTTTATATCCTAACTAAGATTATCCTTTAAGTTAAGATTAAACATTTTAACCAGCTAGCAGTATAATCAAAGTAATTTTTGAATACTCTTTGATTTCCCTTAAGTAAATTTATAT